TGTCACAAGGCCACACTCTATTTTTAAAATACAGTTCCTTCTTTGGTCTCGATATGCCTTGTGATGTAAACTCCAAACAAACATCTCAATATAGTGCACACAGTATTCTTTCAAAAAATGCTTTTTCCCCCCTGGGAATACTGTTAAATACCAATGAAGTTACCTTAAAACTGGAGGCAACAAAATATATACTAAAGGCAAAAAAAATAAATAGGTAGACAAGCAAACAGTTTAGGCAATTAAAAAGAGGATATAGACTCAGGCTATAATTAGGTTCCAAGCATATCAGAATGCATAAAGTATTTTACTGCATTTTATAAAAGTACTAAAAAGCCAGACATGGTCATCATTTGGCTTATGATTAATATTTAAAGTGTTAAGAAGCATCTATATTAAAATACTGATAGTGTTCTCAGTGACTGTCAAGTCATTTGGAAGCATATTCACAGCACAAAAACTTGGTATCTGACTAAACTCTTTTGGCTGGAAAGGTTCTGGGTATCTCAAAGTTTCACAAGGAGTTTTAACAAATAGGAATTTCCACAGAACCATCTTCCTGCACCTGCAAGGCTAAATACAAATTCAGACTATCAAAAACAAAATGCACATGTACACATCTTTCAGATTCTATTTTATGTATAGGTATAGATAGAAAAATTCCATTTTTAAAATATAATTCAGGCATAGGTGAAGAACTTACATTTGGGATAGGGTGAATTCCCTTTACTTACACTTCAAGTAAGGAAGACAGAGAGAGAACAGGAATGTGTTCAAATAAGGCTGTCTCATTTCTAGTACAATTAGGAGGTTAAATCAGGAAGGTGCCTCTGTTCCTCCAATAATCCCCAGCTCCTCCCAAAAACGAATGCAACCCTATCAACCTGCAGAAGGCTGGAATTTCCTTTTCAGGACATAAAGTATTTCTTTCTGAAATCATACTAGATTATAATAACTATGAAGAAGGGAAGGAGGTAGAGCAGGACAAGAAAGTGGGGGGAGGTAGGAATGCCACGACTGAGCTTTGTTTAGAGAGAAAGGGGATGAAATGAGGAACCGCTTCTGTCTTCATCATGATTAAAGTTGGTGAGTCATCAGGCAGGAGAGAGGAGGCTGGGAACAGCGTGACCCACTAAGGATTCTGCTCCAAGGACAGCGGGTTTCCCGCTGGGCACCCACTCTTAAGTGCAAATTGGGAGACTGAGACAGGAACACCCACCGTGGGCAGGCGAGGCTGGAAGGATAGAGGACTGTGGTCTAACGGAGGCAAGTTCTAGCAAGGAGGCAAGGACAAGGTCTGCTGAGGCCAGGCTGGGCTAGTGTTCTGAACAAACGGGAGGTGGCGGTCGGAGCACACAAGGCTACCAAGAAGGGCTGAGAAAAGGCAGTGGGAAAAGCAAGGGCCAAGAAAAAGAGTGACTTTAAGAACTGCTTGTATTTAAGAAAGTCATCTATATGCCAGACACTGCAGTATGCTGGACACGAGATATACACGATGTGGAATTCTTCAGGAAAATCCCTGAGAAGTAGGTGATATTATCTGCTGTTTTCAGTTAAATCGACTAAGAGTCAGGGAGGTGCCTCCACACAGTCAGGGGAAGCAATGAAGGGCTCACTGAGGCAGCGCAGGTAAAAGCGCAAGCAAACAACAGGAAGCTCTCCTGGGAACCAGAGGGCAGAGAGGAACTAACACAAGAAGAAAGAAACCCAAGTCAGGCTTGTGATCCAGGAGATCACAATTTCACCGAGAGACAACATACACCCACACGTAACCACACAGAAAGGCACAAAAAGCAGCCAGAGGTGTTAAGGACACAACTGATAAACAGAGAAACCACAATTCACAAAGATCCCTCCGGCAAGGCGTGCAGGCCAAGGTGAAAGGCGGGGCCGGTCTGGACAGAGAAATATCGCTTAAGGAACTGCTGTAAAAATGCGTCTGGAAAAAATCCAGCGTGCACCGTAAATGAAGACAGTAGTGCTGCGGAGGGAGAGTAGCAATAGAATAATTATGAGGGAAATCTGGAGCAGATTAGATTGCCAAATGTACACAGAGCAGAGAGGAGAGGGCGCAACAAGCTGGCTGCAGAGGAACCGAGCACAGGGTCCTTCACAGGGACACGGGGCCCCGGGAGCTGGCTCCACTGAGGGGGCCTGAAAGGTCTGGATGTACGGAGGTCTGCCTGTCCTCCAGGTGAGGAGGCTCGAAGACCAGGAGAAGGACCCGCAGCGGGCGCAGGTGCTGTGTTACGACTCAGTGGGATGGCAGTTAAGGAACTGGATGAACTGACCCAAAGGTCAGGTTGCGGAGGCTGGAGGTGGGAAAGAAAGGTTAGAAAAATCCAGAAAGAGAAAATTCAGTCTAAAATTTCAAGAAGCCAGTCCCAGTCTGGACTAAGGAGATGAGTTAGGCAGGAAAATGCAGAACCCAGGGGCACTACTTTTTCATAAAGATGGAACAGACTTAAGCGTATTTGCATTCTAAAAGGAAATGTTCGTTTTTATATTATTTTTATTATTTATTTTATTTATTTATTTATTTATTTATTTATTTTATTTTATTTTATTTTATTTTGAGACGGAGTTTCACTCTTGTTGCCTAGGCTGGAGTTCAGTGGCGCGATCTCGGCTCACCACAACCTCCACCTCCCGGGTTCAAGCGTTTCTCCTGCCTCAGCCTCCGGAGCAACTGGGATTATAGGCATGCACCACCACGCCCAGCTAATTTTGTATTTTTAGTAGAGACGGGGTTTCTCCATGTTGGTCAGGCTGGTCTCGAACTCCCGACCTCAGGTGATCCGCCCACCTGGGCCTCCCAAAGTGCTGGGATTACAGGCGTGAGCCACCTCGCCTGGCTCTGAAAGGAAATGTTCAAAAGAGAAGAAATGGCAACTTACAGACAGGTCATGAGATAACTGATGGAGTAAAATCTCTAGAAAGGCAGGAATGGAAAGGATGCAGAGCACAGGTGCAGTATGGCCACTTTAAGGATACTGATTCTTCCCACCCATGAGCACGGAATGTTTTTCCATTTGTTTATGTCATCTGTGATTTCTTTTAGCCATGTTTCGTAGTTCTCCTTGAAAAGATCTTTCACCTTCTTGGTTAAATGTATTCCTAGATATTTTTCTCTTTGTGTGCCTATTGTAATTGGGATTGTGTTCTTGATTTTCTCTCAGCTTGAACATTATTGGGGTACAGAAATGCTACTGACTTTTATACATTGATTTTGTATCCTAAAACTTTACTGAAGTCATTTATCAGTCCCAGGAGCCTTTTGACAGAGTCTTTAGGGTTTTCTAAGCATAGAATTAAGTTTTATTTTCCACATTTCAGTGTCAACAGTTGAAGGGTTCCATCTCAGCTGGCTGACCTGAACAATATTATAATAATATTTACACAATGAAAATGAACATTAATAGCCAAAAGCACAATGTCAATATAAAATTGAGTTGAGTCTTATGCTCCTTCTTGGAAAGCTGACATGAATCAACTGCCTTTTTGATTATATTGAAAACTATTTTCAATTATAGACAATGCTTATTTCATCTGAAAATATAAATTCAAGTTAGAGTAACACTGTGATCTTGATCACAAGTATCTTCTTTAGTTATTAGGGCAAATCAGACGTAATAATTGGTGAGCTCCATTCTCCTCCTCATTCAGGGTCGAATGAAGTCTCATCTCACACATGGAATGCCCAATAAATTCATTACTTGTGCATTCCATGGGCAATTAACATTCTACCTCAGATTGTTGCATATCATATGCCAATTAGCCGGCAAGACCCTAAGACACCATGTCATACGTTCGTTAGTGTTTTGGCCAGTCTTACATGGCATTTGCACATATGGAGTCTTAAACATGCGAGCAGCGTGAGTGTTAGATTATGACTGGAGAGAAAGGCAGTCCAACATATCAAACACGTCTATTTTCTCACACACGAATGCTTTCCTGTTCCTTTCTGAGATGACAAACGTTAGACTTCAAAAGCTTGAGAAAGTCCTTAGCCAAAGAATCATCAAAAGGTGCATGACCTGCTCACCACCCACCTCCCTCAACAGAGTCTCTCTGACTCTCTCCACCCTCCCAAGGGGGCCCACTCCTGTCTGTATGTCCCACAACATTGTGCCCCTCCCACTTACTGCCTTCCAGCACCTCTTTTGTCATCTCTCTCTAAAGTCAAGGGGGAAAGCCACATGACCCAGAGCATATGATTACACCGTTCCCAATACCATCATGAGGATTTATTTCAGGAACAGGAATCCCACGTTTGCCCTTTTGGCCTTTTTTTAGTTAACACCAGGTCATGAGGGAAAATCTGAGGGAGAAATTCTCAGTCCTGCAGGTGTTCTTGCACTGGCTGATGGGGATTAAAGGATCTTAGAGGAGAAGCTCTGAGAATAACATGACTACACTGACAGGCTGAAAGGTGGGGCAACACAGGAGCTGGACAGAGAATCTAGCACTTGGCTGCCATCAGTCAAAACTTTCCTTGCTCTGAAAATTAGTCCACACTTCACCTCTAACACCCAAACATCTGATTTAATCCTGGCAGTGGAGGGGGTGTAAGAGAGGACCCTTGCCCTAGTACCCTGATCCGAGGACACGGCACAGGTGTGACTCCTTAGCCACAACAGCCATCGGGGCGCAAACCTCACCTATGTTCTTTGGCTCAACCTGAAATCCTGGACCTTGACCCCGCTACCTCTGCCCTTGCGTGTCAGCGCCTGACAGTTCTCAGGCAGCTCCTGTTTCAGCCCACTCTGTTCTGCCCTCCCAACCTGCAGTGGGCCCGTGGCAAGGGCAGGGAGGGGCAGGGGGGAAAGGGCAAGGTGACTGTGAGCTACGCCGAACTGCCCTGGTCCAAGCCAACCACCTTCAGAGACCTTTACACTCAGAAGCGAGAAGAGTTTCCGTAGAAGTCACTCAATAGCAACTGATCATCTGAGCACACACAACACAGCAGGCACTGCCGGGATACATGAAGGAAAATCCCTTACCTTACTGAGCTTGCACTTTTGGATGGAAGAAACCCCCTCTGTCTTATCAGGTGAAAGCAACGTGGGGAAACATGGACCTGACTCCTAGACAGAAAATGCACGGTTCTTAAACCTTCTGTGGTAGTGGGCCTCAAACCTGCACAAAGAATGCAGGAGGTTCTCAAGCTACACATTTCCAGGCCCATCTCCTGAGGGTCTGATTTAGTAGGTCTCAGGAAGACCCACGCTGTGCTCTCCAAAGCTCACAAAAGTAGATGGTGCAAAGGCTGGGTTAAGAACACTGCTCTAGATGTTCTCATTTTCTATGGTATGACCTTCATAGTGTTTGTTAGTGAAGCATACCGCCTAGACAACAAAAGGACACGCATCATTTCTTGAACATGAGGGGTCTGCACTTGGTTTCCCTTTCTTTTCATCTTCGTTGTACCTCTTCTTCCCTGTTGCATGTCATGTTCAGGATTCCAAATGCTGGCCCTTTCACACGCTAACAAATACTAGATGTAACTCAACAGATGTCATGAAAAGTAAACCAAATAAAAAGCTGTAGCTTCCTGCTGTAAAGAAATGGGCTGGGCATGGTGGCTTACACCTGTAATCCCCAGCACTTTGGGAGGCTGAGGAAGGGGGATCATGAGGTCAGGAGATCGAGACCATCCTGGCCAACACCGTGAAACCCCATCTCTACTAAAAATACAAAAATTAGCTGGACGTGGTGGCATGGGCCTGTAATCCCAGCTTCTCAAGAGGCTGAGGCAGGAGAATCGCTTCAACCAGGGAGTCAGAGGTTGCCGTGAGCCAAGATCACACCACTGCACTCCAGCCTGGTGATAGAGCCAGACTCCGTCTCAAAAGAAAAAAGAAAAAAGAAAAAAAAAAAGTAAAGTAATGAGGCAAATTTGATGCATATAAATTTCCCCAAAACATCTAAAACTCAGACCAAGAAGAACAAAAAGACTATCAGAAGATTTGGTGTCTTGCATAAAGATGATCCCCTGTAAGGCCCTGGTGCTAGCAGACAGCCAAGGAAGTCTACACCGGCTACTCTGTTCACTTTTCTAGTCATGTATGCCAGGATTCAGGGGTTTCAATGTCTTCTCTGACATCTTGCTTGACTCACCACTCTCAAACAGATCCCTCTAACTGCAGGTAATACTGGCTAATAAAAGTAAAACCTAATGCTTATTGAGCATTTAGAGTGTGCACATTGCATCCTGTATTCTTTATGGATACAATTGATTTAGTCCTCCAACCACCCAAGGAGAAAGAAGGTAGGGAACTTTTCCTACCTCATGGATGAGGAAACTGAATTGAATGACTTGCCCAAGGTCACAGAGCTGACAGGTGGTGGCGCTGGGCTCCAGCCCACTCTGAAACACTAAAGCTCTGATTAGATTTTGTGGGGTCATTTGCCAGCAAAGCCTACAAATAATTCAAATAAGTTGATGGGCCATCTAGGAAAGTCATTTCATTTTAACTAAACCTCTTAATATAAATATAAGTCCTTCAGTGGCTGACCTTGGAAAACAGCTCAACAGGTGCTGCGACAGCCTTCTGTTCTTTCAAGTACCACTCCCAAGACCATGCTCCCTGTGCAGCCGCTGAAGGGGCTGGAAGAGAAACACACAATGACTTTTCTCAAAACAATTAGTGACAGGAAAATAATAAAACTCACTTCACAATAAACTCAAGAAGCAGGCTAATGAGTTAAATTGGTAATTGAAAGACCCAGCAACTAAGAAGAGCCTTCTCTCTCATTTCATATGAACGTTTAGTAAAATCACCTAACCACTCCATATTCAGCTCTTCCTGTTTCAGACCCAGCTAATGAATATGTCCCACCCTCAAGAGAATGCCCAGTGAACTCTCAAATCGGGTTCCATCTTGCTCCTCTCAAAGAGGGTGAACAGGCACAGGCTTTCTGGAAAGTGATTCAGTTAATTTTACAGTGAATAGTCTAAAGTTCTTTATAATCTTCTTCCACTTTCATACTTCTTTTTGCTGTGAATGTCAATTGTCACAATCTGTGGAAAGGTAATGTGGCAGTATTTGTCAATGCTTAAAAATCGTTCCTGGCATGGCGCGGTGACACACGCCTATAATTCCAGCACTTTGGGAGGCCAAGGCAGGTGGATCACTTGAGGTCATGAATTTGAGACCAGCATGGCCAACGTGGTGAAACCCTGTCTCTACCAAAAATACAAAAATTAGCCAGGCACGGTGGCGGGTACCTGTAATCCCAGCTACTCGGGAGGCTGAGGCAGGAGAATTGCTTGAATCCAGGAGGTGGAGGTTGCAGTGAGCTGAGATGGTGCCACTGCACTCCAGACTGGAGTGAAAGTTCACAAGAGTGAAAGTTCATCTTGGGGGAAAAAAAAAAATCGTTCCTGAAAGTTGAACCAGCAATTCTCCTAGGAATTTGTCTTAATGCAATCATAGCAGATGTGTCCAAGGGGCAAAACACAAGAGTTTTTTTCCTAGAATCCCACATCAAATTAAACACTGGAAACAAAGTCAAGGTCCACAAAGGAGGAGGTAATTAAATGCATTACATGGACGTGCCCTTTCAAAACCAGCCAGTAAACTGCATTGTAGACGACTGTCTAAAGGCAGAGAAGGACTATGTAATGATATACTACTAAGTAGGAAAAAGAAGCAGTTAAGGAAACAAATTGATCATTTTTGGTAAATGTGTAATAGATTAAATAAGACTAAACTTACATAAATCAAAAACATTTACATGAAATGATCTTAAGTGCCAGAATTATAAATAATTCCTTCCCAATTTTATTTGTGCTTTCTTTTTCTGCTTTCCAAATTTTCTAGATGAATAGCTAATCTTTGTAATTCAACAAAATTATCATTTTTGAATAACAAAAGTCTGGCAAAAAGGATTAATAGTTATCTTAGGTTTACATTCTACTCCCCAGTAATTTCTTCTCTAGGATTACATACTAACAAAGTAGTTAAGCACTGATAAAAGTTGATGGTAAAAATGTATATCACAAAATAACAGCAGAATGCAAAGTAGTATTCATATGGGAAGGAGGTTAAAGAAACTATTGTACATATATACATATATGATTCTGAGGTTATCAAAAACTGTATTTTTATGTTTTACATATTTCATATATTTTGAGAATTATCTGGGTTAAGTAAAAAATCTAAGTAAGGACACAAAACGGTGTCTATTTAGATCATATCTGCTGTTTTGTGTCCTTATGCTAAGTGAAATAAGAGGCACAGAAATATAAATACTGCATGATCTTATAGACATGCAATAAAAAAAAATCAAACTCATTGAAACAGTGCTTAGAAAGGTGGTTACCAGAGGCTGGATGAGAAAGGAATCGGGAATGAGGAGATGTTGCCCAGAGAACACGACGTTCCAGTTAGACAGCAGGTATAAGCTTTAGAGATATGTTCTACAGCATGCTGACTATACTGAATAATGTTATGTACTTCAAAACTGCTAAAAAGAATAGATTTTAAACATTCTCATGACAAAAAACATATGAGGTGACAGATATGTTAATTAGCTTGATGTAATCATTCCACAAGCATATATCTAAAATCACACTGTACCTCATAAATATATACAATTATTTGTCAATTAAAAATAAAATAACAACATACACACATATATATTATACAAATTATTCCATATATTAAGACATTCATTTATTCACATATTTATATAGCACCTTTTATGTGCTAAGCAATAGGCATATGTGTGTCCATACAACCAAACACATTCTCTTAGAAAAGCAATCAGAAAGAAACAGCAGAATACTAACAGTGGCTACACATAGATGGCAAGATTGATGTAAATATTCTTTCGTTATTTAACACAATCTATAGTTAAAAAATTATCTACAAGTATTATTACTTAGCCATACACACACACATCCTTGGAGAATACTCATCAGAAAATGCTATCTGAGTCCTAATTTTAGCATCTATCTTGCTGTGAATGTTCCAGAAGAAGATGCAGATGGTAATAGGTCAGCGCTGCATCAGCACCAGGGATGTCAGGGGGTAAGATGCACCGATGCACCTCTCAGTCGAACATTTGAAACCTCTCAAGACAATATAACAATTTGACTGAATAACAAACACAAAATTCATCAATTGGGCAGGAATAATTCATGTAACCTTTGTGTCATTAAAAAAAATTTCTGACCAGGTATGGTGGATCACACCTGTAATCTCAGTACTTTTGGGAAGCCGAGGTGGGTGGATCACCTGAGGTCATGAATTTGAGACCAGCCCGGCCAACATGGTGAAACCCCATCTCTACTAAAAATACAAAATTAGCCAGGTGTAATGGTGCATGCCTATAATCCCAGCTAGTTGGGAGGCTGAGGCAGGAGAATTGCTTGAGCCTGGGAGGCAGAGGTTGCAGTGAGTGAAGATTGCGCCATTGCACTCCAGCCTGGGCGACAGAGCGAAATTCCATCTTGGAAAAAAATTAAATAATAATAATAATAATTTCTGAGCCCCTGTTAATGGGACATGTTGCATGAAAATGTTATGTGGAAATTTTATCCATCACCACTAAAGTGAGTAAAATCTGCTGTCTAGTAGATGAAAAATAAATCATATATACTTTATTTCTTTTGCTACCTGTATATGTCATTGACAACAAAGGGAAGTAATTTAAACATAGCTAATAAAGAAAAACATCATATCAATTTACAGCTAAAAATTAGACTAAAAACTTCATGGACATTAATATTCACTATCTGTCACAACACGAACTTGTTATTGCTAGATACACTTACTAATGTATGAGACTTTTTTAAAGCATTTTAATCATCAAATAAGACACCAGAATTGTCATCCATGGATTTTCTTGTATTGTTTGGAAATAATGAGACATCATGGTGTGATTTCCATCAAGGAGCTGACAGTTCATTGGTCCATTAAAATGCCTAAAGGCTTGCACCGCTTCTGCCACGTGAGATGTTTTATGTTGCCAGAGAGAGAAAGCAATCTGACAAATCCTGAAGATGCTCCAGGAAGACTATTCAACATCCCAATTTCCACACAAGCATTTTGCTGCATTACAATTATGTGCTTTACAAAAAACATTACAGCAGTGTTGGCTCTAAAGCAAATACAGATATCTCATTTTCTACAACAGCTGTGTTCTTTAAAAGATTGCATGTAATTTCTCAATTTAATCATATTTCCAATTGTCACACATTATCATTTCACCAAAAGTAAACTCTAAGGCCTCCTTTTATGATTACATACATACCCAAGAATCTTTTAAAATTGATCAAAAATAAGAATGTATAATATCAAACAATACGAACTTTCATTGAATTACATCTTTCGGTGAAGCAAGAGGATTACTCAGTAACATCGTGCCTGCAAGTGAGATGAGGGAATACGAAGTTTGCTTGTGTCTCAGAGCCTGTAGACAGGTCCTCCCTGGTCACTGAATTATAAAGGGATTCTCTAACCTCTGTTTCTCACCATGTTGTTTCATTATTCACAGAAAGTATTTTAGCTGAAATTAGCCATATTCTACTTGGAAGCAGAATATAAGCTTCTAAAACGGAGGGGAAACCATCTTGGTATCGTTCATCATTGCTTCTCTGGAGCTACAATCATACCTGGCCATAAATATTTGTTTAATGGGCCAGGAGCGGTGGCTCACACCTGTAATCCCAGCATTTTGGGAGGCCAAGCCAGTTGGCTCACCTGAGGTCAGGAGTTCAAGACCAGCCTGGCTAACACGGTGAAATCCCATCTCTACTAAAAATACCAAAAAGTAGCCGGGTGTAGTGGTGGGAGCCTGTAATCCCAGCTACTCAGGAAGCTGATACAGGAGAACTGCTTGAACCTAGGAGGCGGAGATTGCAGTGAGCCGAGATTGCACTACTGCACTCCAGCCTGGGCAACAAGGGTGAAACTCCGTCTCAAAAAAAAAAAAAAAAAAAAAAAAAAAGGTGTTTAATGAATTAAAGGAAAGGAAGACAGGCAGAATAGTACTCTGGTCTTTAAATATGAATTCAAATGTGTCTATTTTGACCAATTCATTTCTCAGTTTCCTGGAGAGAAGGAACCAATTATGAGACAACACTGCTTCAGTCACTAAATTTATTTTTTCTGCAGTTTTCTCAGACATACTACAGATATGGCACTTATTTTATGGAATATTAGATATTCATACAATTTCATAAACCCTAAATTCCATTTTTTCTCACTATATTCATTGGCTCTAGCAAAATGTTCCAATTATTACCCTTTTGCCAAACATTACATAATAAACAAAATATATTCGATTATGTATTACCTGTCACTTAATATATACATATGGTATACCAGGTACTGATTAGGGTATGTGTATGCGTATACGTGTGTGTGTGAGCACATATGTGTGAATGTCTACATTTTCACTTGTTATTTACAATATTGAATATCAGATTAATAGCCCCATTTTATTGTTCTGAAAAGCTGAAGCTCACGGAGATCACACAGTTCACACAGCTGAAAAAGTCTGTATGTAAACAAAATCCCTAGCTCAGGCATCCCCACTATACACTGCTGACTCACTCTAGCACACACAGTCAAAATGGAACAGAAATGCCTATTTAAT